GTTTTAACTTGGATATAAAAAAAAAAAAAAAAAAAAAAAACTCAACTCAAAATTTAATTCAAGTATTCAATTTTAATTCAACTTTACTATTCGAAATATTGTCTATATAATTAAATAATACTAATCGATCATCCTTTCATATCACATCAACTTTAATTCACTATTTATTACTTACATAATTTTAACATCTATCACTTTCAATCAATATTCATCTCTTATTTTTACATAAAATAAATTTTAATTATTTTATTTTAAATATTATTTTAATAAAAAATTAAAATCTTACTAACAACTAACAATAATAACTTTTTTAAAATTAATTTTAGTAACCAAACAACCAATCAAATATTCAAATATCAATATCAATATAATTATAATCAAGCACACCCTAAACATTTTCCACCGATAAGCCGTTGAAGATAAATGAGTACTCTAATTCTGCTTTGAAAAATAAAAATAGTAACGGAAAATTAATCAAAACTGGAAAAACGAACAAAAAGGATACAAGAAAAAGTTAGCAGCCTTTTTTTTCTCTGATATTATTAACGCACATATATCAAACCAAATCAATAGCTTTCACCATAAATCATAAATCACAAGAACAAAATATTCGGTGATATGAAACTGGACAAATGGGGTTATGAAGTGAGGACCTGTTCAGATGCTTGCCTATCTGCTATTAACTCGTACTACGAACAGGTTAATCTTTTTATTTTTAATCAGTCGAAGCTTTACATTCTTGAATGCGTAACTAATTGCTGTTTGTATTGTTCCTGAAAAATGGATGAAATCTTGGTGGGTTTTTATTTCNAAAAATTGTTGAAATATTCTAGCTGATTATTAGAGTATTATTGAATTAAGGTTATCAGAATAAACGAATCTACCGTACTTTTTTCTGATATTTAGGTGCTTAGCTATGGAAGAAACAGGTCGATAATATTGGAAGCTCCAAAATGTGATCCAGAATGTGTTTTGGGCAATATTTTGGCTGCCCATTTTCTCTGCTCTTCTGATTCTTCTCATGCTACTCAGCTCTTGGACACCGCCAAGTCTCATCTTGTATGATTTCTATTATCTTACTTTATCATCATCATCATAGTCATCATTATTATTGTGGGGATTTTGTCTTGATTTCTTAAAACTCAAACTGTCCTGTTTGTAGATGTTCTCTTTATGGTTTTTGTTTTGTGTGCTCTGTGCAGGAACAAGCTAGCTCATATGAGAAAGCTGTATTTGAGACTTTGGTATATTTAACTTCTCCAGATAGAGATGATGATTTGGCTGTCGAAATGCATTCCAAGGTAATCTTTTGATGATGATTTTTTCTCTCCCTTTTCATAACTATTATTGGTTTGCCTTAAAGTACCATTTTTCATCTGTAAGAATTTTGCAATATGGGTAATTTTTTCTGCACTTATATCTGGATGTCTTCACTTTCAAATTTCTACTCGTTTGAACTCAATGTAGATTGCTTGTTCTGTGTGGATATTTTTCTTACACATTAACAAATCGAGTTTTATCGCATAATATATGTGTGCTAAAACCGCTTAAACTGAATTATCCATCCTCAATAGTTTGTTACTCTTAGAATAATCAAATATTATATGGCTCACCTCTTTCATAGTTTATGCTTTCTTCTAGATGAATTAGTCATTCAACATAATGAATTGAAAAAAGACTCCTGAGTGGTGAACCATGATGGAACGTGTCAGTTTTGAGTTGTCGTAAATTGATTAATTTGGGGAGGAGCTCAACTTATAAGCATAACAAAATTCAGGTATTTAACACTTTGTGGGTCAGAATACAGGTTTTGTAACTTACTTTATATGTGTAACTAACGACTACTTGAAGCCGAGGGTAGAGTATAGTCCGGGATTAATTCTTGAAATTTACTGTTGTGAAGGTCAGAAGTATGTGATTAAAATTTGTTTGTGTGTCCTCTGGTTTTCAATTTTTTTTTATTATCTATATTATGGTCAATTTTACTTGGTTACAGCTATTACAAGATTTCCCTCGAGATCTTGTGTCACTAAAGAGAGCTCAAGTGCTATGCTTTTATATGGGTCAACCAGATCCATCATTGAAGCTCGTAGAACAGGTGATGTTTTTAGTAGCAAACTAATTTTTCGAATGCATTAATTATCAATGTAAGTTTTTTCAAGTGGCTTTAGCAAATCTTCTGGATAACTAGGATTAACACAATTGAATATTTAAATACTAAGAAAACTGATCCTTTCAGAAATTAATTTTAACCAATAGCATAATTACGAACAGGTCCTACCAACAAACGAGCAAGAGAGTTATATATATGGGATGCTTGCATTTCCTTTGCTTGAGCTTGGTCGAATGGAAGATGCAGAGAAAGCTGGCAAAAAGGGATATGAGATCAACAAGGATGATCCTTGGTCTCAGCATGCAGTTAGTATCTTATTTGATTTTGTTAATCATTTATTTACTCTGCTTGGCTATATTCAAAATCTTCTTAAGTTTTTACTTAATCACGATCCTTCTCATGGGGTGAATATCATTCAGTATTTCCTGGCAATAGTTAAAGTATGTTGTATTGACTTTTTTCCAGTGGCTGATGATTTATTGTTTTGGTTCTTTGTGAAGTAGTTTTAATGCCGATTTAGCATGTTACATTTGCTTATATGGTTTTCTTTCAAAAAATGGGCCTTAGTTTTTATGTCTAATTAATTACAAAGAAACCAACTGTAGTTCAAAATCATTAATACCCTCTTTTTGTTGCAATCATATTAATATGCAAATAATAGCTACTACTTTTGTCATTATCTAACTCTTATATGGTTTTCTTACACATACGCAGCTTTGCCATGTTTACCAGTATGAATGTCGGTTCAAAGAAGCAGTGGAGTTCATGAGTAACTGTGCAAGATCATGGGGTTGCTTATCATCTTTTATGTATGCTTACATTAATGTGCAAAGATGCCATATTACATTACCAACATTTTTTTTTTCTTTTTTTACCTTTTAGCTGGCTGACCATGGCTATTTATTAGGTACACACACAACTGGTGGCACGTTGCTCTATGTTATTTGGAAGGCTGTGCTCCTATAGAAAAAGTGCAGGAAGTTTATGACGAATGCATTTGGAAAGAACTTGAAAGAAGTGATTCTGTGCCGGCTGAGGTTTGTGATAATGGCTTTTTTCCCTTATAATAGCGTCCTCTGGTCTGCCGCAAAATATATTTTATTTAATTGCATCTTTTTGCATTCAGGTATACTTAAATGCCATTGGTTTGTTGTTGCGTGTGTATATACGAGGTGAAGGTGAAATTTTCAAGGGCCATCTACAGGATTTAGCAAAGTGTTTGAGAGATCAAGTGAGTTATAACCCTCTCATCCTCCTGTTTTTGGGTTTTCCGAACCCTTTTTTCTGAATGGACTGAGAAAAATTCCCCTGGGTTTTGAGATATTTATGGGGAAATCCAGATAAAATTTCTTTGAGTTATTTTTGGAAGGAATCCAGATGAGTTTCAACGTAGAAACAGAAAGGTATGATCGAATTATGTCTTAACTTTCAAGGGATGACGACAATATTTGTATAAAATATAAGAGGGCTTTCTAATATTTTAATTATGAACTAGAAAAATGTGAATCAAACTTGTGGGTGCCTTTGTAATATTGAAGCATCTGTAGGTTCTTTTTGTCGGAGCTCAAAACGAAAAAGACCATAAACGCATGAGAATCGAATTTGATTTTGGCCTTTTGAACTACCCTGATGTGATGTCACAGACTTGTAAGAGTGTGATTGCTCGAGTGACATTCCTTTGGGTTGTCTGATAAAGATTTATTCGAAAAATTAGGTTATATAAATATTTATAGAATTGTGTTGACATTTTCATACTTGAACCAAAAATATCAGGGCTTCTGGTTTATCGAGTGGCACCTTGATATCTTGATAGCGTGGGCCTTAGCATGTACAGGAGAAATAAATAAAGCAGAAGAACTACTTATTGGCTTGAAATTTAGGTGTAGTTTTCCTCCATCCCTCATGTTTTGCTTTCTTCATTCACTTCAATGCTTGTTCTTATCTTTTCCCTTTTTAATTAATTATGTTCACTACTTTGTTGAAGGGTTTCCAAGATGAGCCTGAAGAAAAAACAACTAATGGAGAGAGGACTTTCAGTTTGTTTCTGTTCTCTTTGCTGAATTGTGTTTCATTTTTTCATGTGCCCAATAAGATTTCTACCATTCTTGAGTTTTTTTAATGCCAATATATATATATATATGCTTTGTTGTGTTTATCACTGGAACGGCTTCAATAAGTGAACTATGTTCTAGGTTCTGCGAAGGGCATATAAGTATATTGAATATATTCAAATGGTTGCCCAATTTTAGAAGATTTGGAAAAATAAAAACTAAAAAGAAAGAAATAAAGAACACCAACCATACTCTACTTGTCTATATGAAAGTTTGATCATCTCAACTGCATATTTCATGTTGCACTGAAAATCAAGAAATACATGGCTGTAAACATCCATTACTGATTTTCTTCTGAAAAATTGATACATATATTCACTTTTCTAGCTTGCAGAAGCTCTGTATAAGTATGGCAATGGTGAAAACAAGGACGCTTTAGAACTTCTCAGCCACGACTTTGATGCCATTAATTACAAGGTTT